TTCCTTCTCTGCAAAATTATGCAAAGTCCTGCTTCAAATGCAAATACCCTCCATCCTTGCGGTGTTTCCAGAGTTCCTTGAAGTCTGGTTTTTAAATAGTTTATATGAAGAAGTAGAAAAGCTTCTTAGTGTTTTCACCTGTCAAGGTTTTGCAGCGTAAACTGGTGGAATTAAAATACTTTGATGGCTTACTGCGCTGAAGTCAGTGCAACATTATATTTATAATGTTCTTGTTTAAAAAAAAAAAAGAATATTAAAACATTTGTTTGGAATTCAAAAACATTATGATAGACAGAAACTAGAAAATTTATAAACAGGAGAAGGGGTATTAAAAAAACGCCAAACCGGCCAAACCTTTTGAAGGATGGAAATGCTAATTGTTTTTATGCTTTATGGCATACAATAAGCCCCAAATTGGGTTCACAAAGGACATTTTCATTCTGTTTTAAACTAATCATTTAATAAAAATAAGAAAATAATTTTGGAGCAGATTCTGTAAAAAACTGGAGAAAATAAATCATGTTATGCAAGAACTAAGAACCTGAACTCATCTATTATTTAAGCAGATCTATTACAAATAATTTATCAACAACTAAAAAATGCTGTCAGCTGTAAAGTCACCTACATGTTGACCTTTTTCAGAATGGATAAGCATCCTTGTTATGGCACATAGAAACAGCATGAATTCACCTCCTGCTTTTATCAAACAACCACAAAAGAAAAAACAGACAATCATACCAGATGTTTGTAGCTCAAAGCTGGCAGTTTCTCTTTCCCCTGCTGTTGAAAACAGAGACAGTCCAGACACCCTGAGAAAGAGATTATTTTTCCAGAAAGTGCAGCAGTAGTCGGACTGTTTAATCCACCACTTCACCTGCTGTCACGAGTCAGGGGATTGGGAATGATAACAATGGGATTAAGGATTAATAGATTTCTACATTATCATTTTTCCCACTCCTGCCCACTCTCTCCTACTGCCTCTCTACAGCTCTTTAGATATTTTTATAAGTGGATATCAAGTTCTGCTCTTCATTATTTTGATGTCAACTTTAGATGTCATCACTGGGAATCACTGTCAACACTTGGTCTGTTCTCTAAAATCATAGACACCTTTCCTTAAACTTGAGTAAATGACAGCCTTTTAGTAGAACTCTAATAAGAAATCGATTGTGATATTATTACTTCCAAAACTCCCTTGGATCTAAAGTATTTTGTAATTTATTATCTGTCAGTTGGTTGCCTCAACTGCAGTAAGACTCCATCCAACGGGCCGAACATCTAAATGGCAGGCTAAATGCATGAACGTTAAAATTACAATCTTGACATTTACAAAACTATAAAGGAACTGAGTGATATAATGCTGATAAAATGTACAACTCTCTCTCTGAATGCTAACTTAACTTGGCCTGACAAGCCAGACTGACTTACACCATATGTATTCAAAGCACAGCTAGTCAGTCTGGGCAAGTCTAGACTCTTCCCAGACCAGCCACAGTGTGAGAGTTAGGAATTTTCAATGCCTCACTATTTTCTTTGACCTCCTGATTGTGGCCACAACTGAGCAAAGTTTTATTTATGTCTTGTTATTATGTCCTAAATGAGTTGGATACACACTAAAGTGGAAATGAAAAGCTTAACCAAACTAAGTTAATTTATGAGATTGAGTCAATCAATAGGTATATTGCAAACATGAAAAATAAAAATATGACAGAAAAAATTTAGAACTGTTTAAAATTTGTTTGGCAGGGTCATTGCGATCTTGTATTACTCTAAGCAGTGTTGTCACAGGGTTGGTTGGAACTGTAGGTGCCAGTTGAATACTTTGGTAATACCAGCTATAACCCAAAACCATAAAAGACTTTAGACATTTGGTATGATGGAAGACTAAGCTTAAAGGACACTAGAGGATCCAAATCCCATTGCTTGTGCTTTTAAAACAACTCACCTTGTGACTCTATTTGTGATAAGGAGAGAAAAGGCAGGCTCTGATTTATACGGATCTGATTCACTTATTCATAGCTCTAGATCAAAAATTATTTTCTAGTAAAACCTGAAAATTAATAGATATTAAAAATACAAACAATTATGCCCTGTTATGCCTTTAGTCTATTAGTTGAAAGACAATACTGTACATGACATTTAAATAGTATTTTCTGTGTATGACAATTTCAGAAGGGTTTCTGTTTAAAAATTCAACTTGAAAAAATGTTGCTCTAAATCCTCCCCCTGAAGCCTGTGTCTAATCTAATCTTGTTTCATAAGAATAGTCTCATACAGAGGTAGAGCAATACATTGCAGTACAGACATTTCTGAACAATATAATTTTCTATTGTATTGACATCGGCCCATACGTGACTTATTAGTGCATTCAGCCGCCATGCTTTGAGATCATGTGAAGGGCATCCATTGTCACTCAATACATTTCCTTACCATTGTCAAAGGTTTTTTTTGTATTTCTAAACAGATGTCTTCTTTCAGTTTAAAATGAGAATTGTGTAACTTTTTTTTTTATCATTCTGTCATTTTCACAGCAGCACCTAGAGCCAAAAGTGACATATGGCATATGCCAGTTAGGAACCGGTGCATGCCATTCAGGAACCAGCTTATGCCAGTAGGGAACTGGTATATGTTAGTTGGGAACTGGTTTATACCAGCTGAAAAACCAAATATGTCAATTTCGTCAAAGGTCATACATTGGCGCTGAATTTCCTTTTTTTATTGACATATATATTTTTGTATTCATGAAAAAGTACAGTTTATGTATGTATTTGTAAATGTGTCTATGTGTTGAAAAAAACAGTAAACAATCATACCACCAAATCTTGTCATTGTGTTTGCTTTGACAATGTAACTAAATGCTCAGAAAACTGCAGCATATTGGCAATATTACATTATGAAGTAGATTGCTTATGATCTGCTAAGCAATAGCCTAGCTGCCATTCCTCTTATTCATATGTGGTTGCAAACAACAGTTGATTACCGCCCCATACTGTACAAGAAAAAGCAATAATTGCTCCAAGAATGGATCCCCAAATAATCTGTAATGTATAACTGTACACCCATAGTTGTAAGTTGAGTTGGGCAGAGAACAAACTTTCTTAGGTAAAACACAAGTCGCATTTGTACACAATAAAATGATACATAGCAGCATTAAAGCGAGCAGTAAAAGAAAAGTAAATCAAAGAGAAATAAAATCCTTGTAACATTCACTAAGATGAAGATGACTGCAGGCTAGTTGTCAATAAGACAGCATAACTTAAAGTACTTTTCAAGCTTTCTGTTTAAAATCCCTGTATTTTTTTCATATTGCAATAAAAATCACAGGGTTGCAGCCCTAATTCTTTACATGGTAAAATGATGTAAGGTAAAGTCAAAATGCATGGCTATGGTAATGCTAACTTGAATGGTCAAATCAAACCTTCACATAGTCTCACCTTAATCCAAATTCTGAAATGTGGCATCCTGATTTAGCTTTTATCTTACTGAGCTCCTGAGGACACTGTGTCCTCATAAATACATGAGAATGACTCACATCTGATACTCGCATGTTATGTCAGATGGAATCAAGCAGCTTAAGTTAAATCAAACATGAACGCATGCCCCTTTGACACCAAATTAGACAACAACACTCAGAAATTCAAGCATGTTCCCAAACTTTGAAAAAACAAATCTGCCCCTTTGCTCTGACACTAACATTCGTATCCAAACTGCTTTGATTTCATATTTGTTTTTATGTGCAGGTGCATTGTTGCCTTTCTTGAGTGTTTGAGTTTTTGTTGTTTTTGTTTTTGCTCTGCACCCAACAATGGCCCCTAGCTTCACAATCAGCCAGTGCATCAATATTCCCTGCAGGCCCGACAGCTTTACCCCTTATTCAATACTGCCTGCCTGGCACAGATAAATCCAACCAGACAAACAGAATGCACTGATTAAACACTGCAGCTTTGAAACAAACTACAAGAAATTGGAAAAAAAAAAAAAAAACGTTAACGTGACGTGTCATTTTCTTTATAATTAATATATAAACTAATACAAAGAAATAATAAGTCAATGGTTTCTAAGCTCCCTGATAAGACCGAAAATGTTTTTTTTAACCACAAGATATATGAATGGTCAGAGTCACAAATAAAGATTTTTTTTGTTACATTAAGCCCACCCGCCTAATCATCTGATGTTTATATTTTCTATTTACGTATTAGATTACGTTTGTATCAGTGTTTTTACAGCACTACAGGCTGTTTGCATTTTACACACGGTCGATGAAGAAAGTAAACCAAGAAAAAAAAAAGATCAATGTTTACTACTATCAGGTTTCAATCCACTCTCAGTGTTTATGCACCGTGCTGCACTTTGAATTATTGATTCATTTTTAATTGAATGTCTTCTTATTTGAATTCTAACGTGTAGCAATGGTGAGATATTACTAATTTAAAAGTCTTTCTTTTTCATCATTACAGATTCTGTAATTTATTATTCTGTTAATGTAACCCTTTGCTGGATTAAAATGACATTTTTCCTTATATTTCATCTTTTATTAGGATATTTTTCAAAAATCTGAGAATAGTCTTGTTTTAAAAAAAGCTGTTTCTTTGCCGTATTTAAACATTTCTTTGTTTCCATTTTCCTGTCAGTTTGTATGCTTGAATTCACCACAAGCCTTTTGCTGTGCAGCTCTATATACCCTTCAATCAGCAGTCCACCTATAAAAGATTGATTCCTCATTTCTCTACCAGACAGTAATCAGCTCTGCACAAAGAACAGAATCAAGCAAGGGCTGAATGTTTTCAGAATAATCGAGCATAGAGAAACTGAGAGTTTTATTTTTATGCTTCATGTTGAAAACAAACATCTAATAAATTAAATGGTTTGATGTGAAAACAAAAGAATCAATCAAACATACATAAAATTGCCCCATTGAAAAATAAAATCCTGCTGACATTAAAGCTTAAGCAGACTTAAAAAGCCAGTCTGTTAAGGGGAAAAAAATCTGAGGTGTTTACCTTCATGTGTCGTTGCCTCCGTCTGAAGCGCAGCAGCTCCTTGTGTTGGCGGGCGATAAAGTTCACGGCGGCATATTCCAACAAGGCCGAAAAGACAAACAGCAGACAGACTGCCATCCAGATATCAATGGCTTTCACATAGGACACCTGGAGGTAGTTGGAAACATAAGAAAGAAATCATCAGATAGACCAAATCTCAATAGATAAACAGATCCTGTTGCCTGTTTTTTAAAACTATTTTCTTTTTTGATGTTGTTTTTTGTGATTCAATAGCTGTTTTTAGATAAAATAGGGAACATGGACTGAAAGGTAACAAATAAAGTCCCTATGGATCATTCTATAAATACTTTACACCCTCTCCTATTGCATCGCTTCATCTATACACTGATTGATTTGTAAAACCTTTATCAAACACCGGAAAAATACAATCAACTGTTTAAAATCTGATAAAATTATGAGTGTGAATCTTTGACAGACACACTGACTGTAAGTTCACCTTGTGACTCTAATAGGAAACCATTTATCTTAGAGCAGCTATGGGACCACATTGGTTTGATAATCATTCATATCTAAAGAGGTACAGTAAAAAGGAAACTGGTCATTCTAATACAACTGTTCTTCCGTAAAGGTCTACAACAATGGCCATTTGAATAACATTCACCATTAGCTAGTCATCAATAGCTTAAAAAATTACAACTGCCTAAATATGTAAATAAAGGCTGGCATAAGGCTACACCCAATGAGGAGAATAGAATAGAAATAGTGAAGAACTGATAGAAATAGTGGCATTTTGGGTCAGCAGTTCTCCAATTCACTATTTGACTCTATACACCAACTGTTAAGTGCGAAAAGGTCAATTTTCTCTCTAAAATCACAAACATGAACAAATATGTGGAACTCAAAAAATGGTGCTGTAACTATAATAGGACAAAGAATGATCTGTTAAGCTGTGGGCTTATTCCCTCCATAGTCTTTAACTAACCTTTGCAAGTTCTGACATCAAACACCTTTCCAAAAACAGGAATGTACAATGAGTTACCGTTGGGTGCTTTTTATGGATTGGTAATCCAAACATGACTGAATCAAAATAACAACATAGATAAATAAGATGGATAAATAAAATAGATAAATAATAAAACTGAAATAATTGCCATTTACTTCAGGACCAGTTTTTGAATTAAGACATTTCTTACATTCAAATGTTTCCATCAGAAGTTGTAGCGAATACTTATACTTCATACCTGCAATACTACTAGGCCAGTGAATGACAGAAGGAATCAATATTTCCAGATTTATACGCTGCTTACAGGATATTGGTTTGTGGCTCCACACAGAAGTTAGTTTCTGTTGCATTATTGGAATCCAAAGGCTACTTGCTCCTACATCCCCTAGGATATTGGTGAAAAGACTGATTGGGGCTTGGTACACTGATGAGTACATAGTACTTCAGTCTTCCATGGTGAAGAAGGAACTAAGCTTATAAAACAAATCTTTCTATTTGCACGTCCCTCCTGTGCATCACTTCCACTGGCTCTACTTATACTGGCTCCTGCACTCAGCCTGCTTTGCATACATTTGCAAATACAGTTATTTTTCTTTACCTGCTCACATGGTAGCATCATCAGAACTGAGTAGTGCCAAAATGTAATGTGAGGCTTTGATCAAGGAATTGAAGGGAAAAGTTAAACTAAGAGTCTGCATTAATATTATTATCACATTAGTGTGTCTCAAACCCAAAAAATTATCTTACCATTTACAAATCATAAGCTTTGCTTGAATAAAACCAAAGGAAAGAAAAAAGGAAATGTCAGCTTTGCAATTTACAGGCAGGCGGATGAGCGATCTAATTATTCACCTATAGTTCAATAGCTTCACTGGCTTCATCTTGCTTTATACATTTAAGGCCATCCATCACCCCTCTTCATACCTGTCCGATCTCCTTACTAACATCCCCTCCCTGTCTCCACGATCAGCCTCCTCTCTATCTCACTTTGACCACCTGCTCATCTGACTGCTATGGAGCTAAGGACCATCTTCTTATTCTGCCCCTGATCTCAGGATGCTCTGCTGACGACAGAAAAATGTCTCTTATAAAAACATCTATCTATATAAGAGTGCTTATCCAAAACAACCACAATGTTCCTGTTATTCTGTCATTTGACTTTTCTAACTTTCTGGCTTTATCTCATTGTATGTTGACTTTAGGTACCTTAGTAAGGGACCTTTAAATAAAATTCTTTATTAGCAGTTGAATATGTTCTCTTCCTCCTTCCTCCTCCTATACCAAAGATCAGGCAAAAATGAAACATCTGACATCAGATTTGCATCAATACATGACATCGGATTTGCATCATTATATGACATACATAGAAAAAGAGCTGGGAGATTAATTGATTTTAGCTATGAATCAAATTATCTGTTGATAAAGATCAAATTTTTGGAAAATTTAGATTTTATTCCGTCAATGCAGTCCTCGGACTGCCATACCTGAAATTAACATAATTTAATCTGTTTTTGTTCTTAAATATGAACTTATAAGTAATAAACTAGCTCTATGTGAAAAACAAATGGCTGCAAAGAGTTAGTTATATTTTCATAGTTTTTAGTGAAAAATTGTTATTTTATAACTTGAATTTCGTTGCCATATGTCACATCCCAAAAGGGACGACTGATATAAAAACTAGGTTTTGAAAGTTATGTAACTCATTTTTTTATTATTGTGTTATAAAACTTAAGGGAGAAAAAAAGAAATCGGTTAATCAGTTTTGGTAGGAAAACCAATCAGAAATTCAAATTTTCAGCCCTACATCAAAATCTATTCATTTTTGTCTCTCAAGAGTGTTTGTTTCAGAAACATATTCAAAGCATTTTTTACCCACAGCATGAAGAGCAAGCAGGCAGAGAGCAGATGCCCACAAGCAAACAGCCTGCAACGGATCAAATCAGCCAAAACCCATGAATCACCTTTGATAATCGGGGAATTAGACCAACAGCTGCACACACTGCCTACAAGTTCAGCTGGGACAACTAGTTGTCAAAATATCAAAATAACTCTAAAGTGATTCAGCATGTTGTCAACTCAAATATGTTTAAAAAATTTTAAATATGAAAGTGGGGTTCTATTTTAACATTGCAAAAGAAAATATTTACTTTCACTGTCAGATTTGCTACAGATATGCAACTGAAACCAAAACTGACTGGATGCATGGACAGTAGAAGTGTGCATGCACAGTAAGAGGGAACTACCAAAAACAACGAGCACAAAGAGAAACTTTAGTTGAGCATGTCACAAAGAATGGCATGTGGGACAACCAACAGATAAGATGATGAGGAATCTTAGAAAGATTGTTCATACCTATTCCTTACACATTAACCTTTTTCATTTGGTCTATTGATGTATAATGTATTTAGCATTCACTGGCTATGCCTACCATTGATAATTTAGTAATTTAAATAAAAATCCACACAGCTCCATATGTGTAAGAAAAATCAAAACTGAATTAATTTTTAAAATTGTTTCCTTGCTGATTGAAAAAAGTTTTTTCTTAATTGAATCATTGTAAACCAGATTTTTGTGTACATTCCTTAAAAATCATGACTGAAGGACCAAGATTCTTTATCTAGGTGGCTAGATTGAGATCTTTGTGTAGAGCAACCTAGTCTGACCAACCAGAATGACTTACACCGAATAGACGGATAATCAGTGTGGAGAAAAGCCGTTAGAGGCTAACGGCTCCTCTCCACCCTCTCCTAACTAGAGGTCAGATTTAAACCAGTTAGAGTACTTAGAAAGTGACGCAAAAAAGTTCTCAAACACTGAAAAAAATAATGCTACCATGTTTGGCAATTACTTAATCATATTTAGTTACTTTGTGCCCTATCCTGCTAGCATGAAACAACTGTGTTAAAGTAACTAAATAGGATTAAGTAAATGCCCAAAAACGGTTGCATTATTTTTTTGGTGAAGCATCCATTTAGTGGTTACAGAAAATCACTGCTGTATTATGGGTAATTCTGATACAAGACCAAACACCTGCCTCTTGTGCTGTCATTGGTGTAGTCTTTTTTTAGCCTCTTAACACCCACCCAATTTGAAGTGTTCCTTGCCTGTTTTACACAACCAAATGGAAAAGCAAATAACTAAGGAACTGTAAGCCCACCTTACATGTGTGATACATGATAATGACTCTGTAAGGATAAAGGACCTTTACTTAGTTTCTTTTGAAGGCATGTCACACTTTGAAGACACCAAAAGGCGTTCTCAGAACTTTTTAGAAGGATCTATAGATCATATGACCTTGGAACCCCCTGGAATCTCTCATGCGCAACAAGATACTGTTGCTGCGGAGAGGATTATCAAACTTCCTTCTTGGTTCTGTCACCTTCATCACATCATCTAAGATAAGCAGAACACAGCAGGTGGATGGATGAACATCAGCACAGTGTGCCTCTGCTGTTTGGTTACATTTTCAAAGGAAACACTGCCCACCTGGTTCATGAATGTTTTTCACGTCCACCTCCATTTCCAGACCAACCTGAAATGATGCAGCACGACATGTGTAGGTGTGTTTGATATCAGTCACACAGATTTGCCTGAGAGTATGCGACCGAACCGCATGGAACCTCAGCTGTGGTGTGTGATTATTGTTATGACAGCTGAACTGCAGAGGAATTACGGTTCACTTGTTCATTTTTCAGAGCGCACGAAACTTCAACAGAAAACAAACTTAGGGCGAGTGTGTTTGGTATAAAGCTTCCCTGGAATCCATCAAGGTCAAACAAGCTCATTTTGCTCTATTTTAATTTGAAAAGATCAATGGGCTTCAAAAATATATTATTTAAGAAATTACTCTCACAGTTTTATTGCCATTTTCTGTCATTCCCTCCCATTTCACTTAATTCCATCATATACATATAAGTGACTGAAAAAATGTGGGAATGTCTGATTTCTTTGCACCTTGGGCAGGGAGGCTCTGGAGCCAGAGCTCTGGGTGGTCATGGTCAGCACGGTGGTGATTCCCAGACCAACACGGGCAGGCGCTGCATCCATGTTGATCCAAAAGGAAACCCAGGACAGGATAACGATGAGCAGGGATGGGATGTACATCTGGATCAGGTAGTAGCCCATCTGACGCTCCAGGTGGAAACGAGCCTCGATGCAGGTGAATTTACCTAAAACAGCAGAACATGGTCATTCAGCTTTAGTTTGACACGTTAGACATCCTAGTCAAGTATGGTACAGGGACCATTTGGGGCCCTCAGAGAAACTGCACGGGCCACAAAAACACAATCCATGAATGGTATGAATTATTTTGCAGAAAATTTACGTGGATGGATATATTAAATAGTTTTAGGCTAAGATTTTCTCTAACATATTTGCTCAAAGAGGAAAATGTAAGATACCACACCAAATAACTACTAATTTTTACATATTTCATTTTACATTAAAACAAAAGCATATAATAAAAGCAGACTTTGTTGCACTATTGATAAAACTTGGACTCATTTACTGTTTATCGAATTCTTGTTAGGTTAGAGTGGAGCATTGTAGGGTTTCCTTTTAATAGGGTCTTGCAATGATTATGCTAGATTAAGGCTGAATGATTTTGCCAAAAATCTAATTTGCGATTATTTTCCACCAATATTGTGATTGCGATTTCATTGCGACAATCCTTTCCACTAAGCACAAGCATGTCGGTGTTTTACTCCAGGGTTTCAGTTTTTTAATGACCTTGAAAGCCAGCTTGTCCAGAGTCCAGCGTTGCAGGATTTTAGTTTTAAACTTCCACAAACTAATTCTTACTTCTACTATAAAGCATTAATCTAGGTGCTAGCTGCAACGTTGTAATCGTATTGCTGCCACCTAAAGGGCTGGAGGAGGAAATTTGGTGCCTATGGAGGAAATTGAGTGCCTATGCAATTGGAAAATTGCATTTTTCTAAATTTTGATTCTATTGCAAATGCCATTAATTGCCCAGCCCTATGCTAGATGCTTATTATGTTTCAGATCTAAAATGATTTACAAATGATCTTTCACAAATATGACTTTTAGTTTCTGCCCATGAGACAAAATCTTTGACAAAAATGTGAAGAGACTAACCCTGTGTGAGACACTAAAGTAAGTTGCTTCCTTTTAGTTAATTGTCTTAGACTATACAATTAAAGCAATCGTTTGAGGTCTTAAAGCTATATCATACAGTACAGAAGCAGTTGGTAGTAATCAGGACAGAACAGTGGCATATAAAGCTGTGGCTTTCCACCTGTAAGCAATTTAATCCACTGGGATATTTCAACATGCACCTGGTGTATCTGTGCAGAAATCCTCTCTAACTTTAACCTCAGGTTCATAATAAGACTTCAAAAATCTATAACATTTTTGTTTCAGTGTTGCATTTATCTAATCCTGAATATGCTATTGGTAACAGTTATACAGTATAGTTTTGTCCTGTTATGTATCCTTCAGTTTCAATGTTTAAAATGTAGTTTTGTTATTACATTTTATCTTTGCATGCTTCCATGTTACCTTTCACCTTTCTGCTGATGTTTCTATTTCCAACTTTGTGTTGCTGTAAACCCTTATTACCCCCAACATTTACAGAGTGCATCCCCTATCACTACCATTCACGTCTGCTGAACATAACCAAATGCTGTGAGAAGGTCAACTATCATATATTTTAGCCAGTAGACACAACACATTTTTACTAAAACAAAGAAGGTTTTTTGAGCCGCCCCCTAAAAATTCAAAGGCACTACCATTCTGATTATGTAATGTCTGTAACAACTACCCCTCCACAGCAAATTTGAAAGGGTTAATTTAACTTCATTGCAAACCTAGATTTAAGGGGAAAAGCAGCCCCAAAGTAAGGACATTAAACACACCACAATTTTACCACAGCTATAATGGGTAGCATCAACAGTCAGGCCTCAGAGGTGACAACGGCTCTTTTTGACAGGATAAAGTAAAACAGGTACGATATGGGTTTCTTTACTAATAATGAGCTATAGTAGCATCGTTTTCCCCTCCACATCTAAAGAAAATGAGCCAATGGAGGAGAGAACTCTTAACGCCTAAAAGTGGTCTTACCTCGAAGTGACTTTTTTAAGGTCAGACAACATATTGTTGTTGGCCTTAGAAAATTAGTTATATTAACATTACATTTAGTGCAGCTAAACTGTGTGTCAAATAGAGATTTTAGGCTCGAAGTGATGCTTGTACAACATATTTATGGTTCACTAATATGAAACCATTTTTTGGAGAAATGGGAGCACTGACAACGCTTTTTATAACCATAGCATACATTTCAACACCTATACTTTATGCTGCAGGTAGGGTTGCCACCTTTCAGAAATGGAAATAAGGGACGCGGGGGACCTAGAGATACTTTATTTTCACGGGGGAGTCTGGGGGATCCCCCCTAGAAAATTGTGTATTTCTTAGATGCTATTTCCTGTAATTTCCTGCATTTTAACCAAATTGTGTCCCATTTCAGCTCAACACAGAACCATACTTTGATTTTGTTCTTTGAGTGTGGCTTGTATTTCTTGCAATAAGGTACAGCCAATTAAAATAATTAATAAATGGAAATTTTAGGTTTGCACAGTATAATTGCGCACAGGAATCCCCGTATAAAACCACTGCTGTGGTTGGCCTGCTAGAATCTTTTTAGGCTATAGGGAAGATTACATTATTATTATATTGATGTTTTTTTTTGGTGCTTATTTTTGGTTTATTTTTGTTGTTAGTTACCCAGTGTATTAAATAACTCACTTTGTTGTTCTATACTTTTCCTGCCAACCTGCTCTGGCCCCCCACGGTCTCCGGCCCCCACTTTGACAACTACTGTCCAAGATCATGATGGATGTATATCCTTACAGACGAGCACAGCAGCAGTACTACAATGAAAATAACACGCTATGCACGCTTAAATATTCTGACACCCATTGCAATGCATACAGTATAGTTCAAAGAAATATGAAAATGCAAATTAAATGGGCTCATTTGACAGCATTATGTTAAGTAATTTTAAGAATTAAAAATTCTGATTTAGTATGTTGGGGGATAGTAAAAATAGCCAGAAAATGTACAACAGGCCTATACAGCATGACTGAGTGTTCTGTAGCTAACACATTAGTGTACAGTATATATGTTGGGATTTACTCTTGATTGCACATATTTAGTAGCAAAATAAACATTGCCATTCATAGCTAAAAAAATACTTAAAGTTTGCAAAGTTATACTGCCAATAATGAATAACATGAGACATAACATAACATGACATCAAAGAACATGAGATACGCCTACATAGACCACCTCTTTACAACTTGAAATGGCAACAATTACCTTTGATTAAGTCAAATATAAACTTGAATGGGAACTATCTAGGCCTAAACTGGCAATGGCATGGAACTTGGATGTATCACTTATTTTTCCATGAGTACTTTCTGTTACTCCTTGCAGCACTGAGTAACTCCCTGTCTGCCAGACTGCTGGTATAAAACTCTGAGAAGGACTGCTCAAAGTTGAGTGGGATGAGGAGTTTACTCTTCCTAAGCTCTACAGAAAACCTGTTCCTGCTGTTTGTCCACTTGTTTATCATCTGTGAGAACACCCTTTCCACATATCCGGTGGATGCTGGAATGCTGAGGATGTAACTCATGGTCGCCAACAGGTGGGGCAGGTTGACTAATTGAAAGAGAGCCATCCATGCAAGCAATAGATGCTTTGAGTTGGCGTGCGCAGGTGCACAGTTTGTAGAACTACAACTAAACATGAGGACCGTGACCAGGAAACCATGACAACGCCTCAAGGACAAAGATTACCGAGTGGAGAATGCGTTAGACAGACAAAGTCATAAGGGGAAGGTGAATCAAGAACAGTAGACATCTAAGCCCTAGCTACGAGAGGGAGGGAGAGAGAATCAGGACACGCAGACATGGGTCACACTTACAACAGTAGAGTTGTTCTGTGTGCAAGTGCCACTGAAATTACAGTTTGTTTAGTTATTCATGAAAATACAGAACAAAAAGAGTACCTTATCAGTTCAAAACGGGACACGTAATTTAAACTTCCAAATACTGGACGATTCCGTATTGCAAGGGACCCGAGCTGCAGGGTATCAGTTTTTTAAGTCAAAAGCAGCCATTTTACATAGCAGCTAATACACAAGCACACTTTTAAATCCCTTCGTTTTGGAGGGCTTTAAAGTACTGCTCTCAGCAGTAGTTCTTGTGTCTTTTTTGCTTTTTCCAAAATAAATCACATTACATACCATTGCTAATTTCAAATAGGAGCTGCAGACTCTACTGTTTCAAAGGTAACATTATCACTGAACAGCAATGTACAAACTCATGTGGAAAAGACTTGGGGCCGGATTTATCAAGATCCAATTTTGCGTGCAGTAATTTGCGCTCACAAACTGGAATTTTGCACGAGGGGCTGAACCATTGTTTGCGGGTGATTTAACAAGAGTGATTACGTAACTGGTGGCAGGTGCAAAACTGTTGGAGACGCCCTATTTAAATTATGGTTTTGCGCGTTTTGTGGTTTGCGGCAAAGTAGTTTGTAGTTTGTACAAAAACTAGTGCATTAAAAAATTTAAATCTTACAGTGACCCCCAACAAAAAAAAAAATAAAATAAAAAAAATAAAATATATATATATATATATATAAAGAAAAAACTTTGGCAACCTTTATTACCTAAGGTGGTATGTGGCTGAATTTCTACTTCACTGCAGTAAAAAAAACAAAAAACAGGTGTTTTGTATTGGCCTGTAGAAAAATGCACATACCAAATGGCTCACAAGAAGTGACTGTGGATGAGATTACTGCGCTTATGCATCCCCGCAGCATTGGCATGTTGCTCCACAGGCGCAGGGGGAGAACCCCGACCCCGTCGGACAGCACTTCGGACAGATTGGGAGATCCCAGCTCTCACTGCAACCGTACGCTGGAATGACCCAGAGGCAAAAAAGTGCAACGTTGCAAGGAGTTTTGTGATATCTGGTATTGCGTGGGTCCTCCTTGTGGCTGGCTCCAAATCCATTCGGAGTTCCCCCAACAGCTCCAAAATGGCAATGCTGGATTAACGAAATGTTTTGATGATCGTTTCCTCCTTCATTGCAAAAATATTCACACGGAGTGAAAAAATGCGTTCTCTGCGTCTCCTTGCTTC